CAAGTTATTCAGATCATCATGACTCAAACACGAGGCAGAATTCAAATACTGGAATTTTGCCTACTTTAGGTTAGGGGAAAGAATCACTGCCTGAACAGCTTGCTGGTACTGACATAAAGATGCACAGATATTGATGTTTATTGTCTTTGTGATTCTCTATGGTTGCACATGGTGTCATTACAAACAGAAGGATTGATTTTCTGGTTAGGTGGTTAAATTTGTGCATTGTAATTGCTGGGATAAAATATACTGACTAGATAAAAATCTTTCTGGCCGTGTGCCTTGTGTTCTGAGGTATTCCAGCTGCTAAGAACTGGAAAAAAATACTTCCTATGTGATCAGTGTCCTAAAGGATATTTAACGTACGTTGTTAGATTCCAAATGTAGATGACTTATTTTTTGTAAAGTCATCTTAAAACAAATTGTGCTACTCTTTGACTTTTTCATTCCTACGCAAAATGTCATTTTTGTGTAGTGCTTCCCTTCGTTCCTATACGCATTATTAGATTCCAGGGGGTAGAGGAGAAAGGCAATCAGCTGTTTCAGCCATGATTAAAGACAGAAGTTTTCTTTCACAGTTGTATAATTTCAAAATGTTGTTCCTTTATTATTTCCAGATGGAAATAAAATTCTATGTTGCGTTTTTCCTTCTAGCTGAAATATATAATTATATCTAGTAAAGCAAAGCGCTTTGTAAAAAAAAAAGTGTATTTCTAAAAAACAACAGGAAACAGATGTTAAGTGTAGAATGTTGAGACGCTGTAGAGTACAATTATGCGTTAGCCCATGATGTCCTTCAAGTTCTCTCTGGGATATTAACTAATAGTTTTATTAAGTGATGAAATCTAGTATTCTGTGTGCAATCTGTGGTGTGGGAAAATCTGTCAGCATTGACTAAGTATGACTGTTCAGCACATAGCTGTAATTTAATCAAACGTATGTGGTAAAGTACTTCAGTGTACATTTAGGTGCAGGGAGGATAAAAGGTAAGACTGGAACAATCTTACCTTAAACTTCTGGGTTAGACTGTGCTATTTATGTCTGAATACTTGCAAAGTTTGGAAGATTGGTTTATCCAGATTTCTGAAGTAATGATGGAAAGCTTTTGTTCGCTTCATTATTCTATTTCCTTCTAAACGGCTCACTCTGAGTTTCTGGTTGCAAAACGTAAATTAAAGAACACCAATGATACTTAGAAAACGAATGACAAAGAAACAGTGAGTTGTCAAGTATTTCTGTCTTGTGTTTGTTTGGCTTGTGTTAATAATTTGTATTCTGTTAAATTCACTAAGTTAATAATTACAATCCTGAAGTACTTGATAGGAAATCAATTTATTACTGCGGCCTTTGACTCAGGTCTATGCCTGAAAATACAGGAGTATACTCAATTGAACTTCAGTGCTTAAAGCACATGCAGCGTATTTTGTGTAGCTTTACATTTAGAAAGTAAGCAAAGAAAGGGCTTCACAGTAGAAAGAGTTGTTTGCAGCCTCTTCTTCTCCAGAAGGAGCTTTGAGTGTCCAGAACATACCTGAAACCTGTGACCACAATACCTAGGCTATATTAGGGTTTCCAGATACATGATGTGTACGTCATACATGCATTTCTGATACGTATGACAAGCAATTTTCTTTCTAAAGAATGCATGTTCTTTGATGTTGAGGTGCTGATGTGCATCTTTCTAAACCAATATGATGCAGTGGAATTATCAATTATATTTTTGAGCTTATTTTCTTGGCTCTGACTGCATACAGGGACCTGTAGTGACAGTTGAAAAGTTCAGTTAATTATGCCAGGCATTCTGTGTCCTGTTAGTACAGAACCAAGGGAAATTACTTTAAATGACAACAATTGTGTTCTTATTCCTGAAAGATACCAACAACAGAGATTGCAGGAGCTGTACATATTTTTTATTTTTTTAAAATAAGAAATATCTAGAAGAAGGAGTTCTGACTGAGTCTTGCTTAACTATGCTGAACTCTACCAGTTTAGTTCCTCCTACAGGAACTGTAGTTTGAATCTGTCTCTTGGCCACATCCCGCTGAAGTAGATCAAATGTGAGACCAGCAGGAGTCTGCACATTACTGTCAGCTAAGCAACTGGTGGGTTTGGGGTTGGTTGGAGTGGGTTTTTTGAGATCCATTAGATAGGAAAACACTTTTTAGATTTTAGGATTTGATTTTCACTTTTCATACTTTGCAGCAAATTTTCATTTTTTAAGGCAAAGAAGAGAGGAGGACAGATGAAACCAACTTTTTCATGTAACTAGAGAATTTGCTCGCTTGTGACTTTAAAACCCAAAACTTTGTGGTAAAACAAAGTAGTTTCTCATTCTTTGCTGTATGGTGTCCTTAACAGAGGTAAATGCATGGTAGTTTTGGGTTTTTGATTAGTTCCTGCTAGCCTGCAATGCATGTCTAGTTCTCCACACAATTTAAATGTAGCTACTGTCCTGGAAGAGGAATCAATTCCTATTTTAAGGTTAAAAAGCAACCCTTAAAAAAATCTAAGTGTTGTTTAGTATGAATGCAAAAGGGAAAGAACAAGATCTTTAAGTTTTAAATGTAATATACCCTGTGTTTGGGATAGAAATCTGTTTTTTCCTTCAAAATATTCTGTTTTTTCCTCCAAATGATTCTCAGCCTTACAAAAGCTGGAATAAAATGACACTTTCATAGCTAGAAATTCTAAGAAACGGTTTATTACCTTCGAAAGGAATTCACAAAGTGATCACATATTGAAGAGGCTGTTATTCAGAAGATGCCAGATTTGAGGGGAGTGAGAAAGAATTTTTTTTTCTTTCTGTGTCGTAGGGCGAGTTATTTCTAAGAACTTGGCAGGTTCAGAAACATGTTATACAACTTGACTTCTGTTGGTTTCTTATATCATAAATCTGTTCTTGAGGACTGAATGAAGTGCTTTGAGCTAAGAGATAAGCAGAATAATAGGCTTGTGCTACATAGCTTAGGTTCCAACCCTTTTGCCATTTCTCATATTTCAGAAACATATTTTATTATCAATAAGCAAAAAAAATCGCAGATGACTACTAGGATGCTTCGTATAAGCAATGTTTACATTTTTTTCAAAGCTTAAAAGAGAAGGAAAGTTTTTCTCATTTTGTTACTTTATTTTGCAGAACTTGTTCTATGTTGTTTCATTTTGAAAATATATTCTAGCCGAATATCTGAAATAGTTGCGAATTTAGGCAAATGGTTCCATTTGAAATGGACACATAAAATTTTTATAGATACGTAGTGGCCTTTTCTTTATTCTTTTATTCATGAAGCCAGCTACCTCCAGCTTCCACTGAGAGCCAGGTTGACTGCACCCAGCCTTTCTGTACATCAAATTGTAAGCCCTCCATTATTGGTGTAGTTATTATTGTAATGTTTAGTTTACCTAACAGAGATTGAGTAGATACTCCACTGAATAGTGTAACCACTTCTCTTAGACATTTACGGAATTGGATCTTAGACAGAAACTTTCAAAACTGCTTTCGAAAGTGGTTTGAATGAGCTCGGGTTTTGTACACATGTGTTTGTCAGATGAAAGGTGTATGTTGAAAGAGCGCCTTATTTCTTGCTCTAAAAATCAGTGCTTTTAAAAGGCAGGTACCTGAAAGTTAAAAGACACGAGGGTGTTTACCTCCTCTTTGAAAAATCTAGGCCAACCTTGTAGAAATACTGAGAGAAAAATCTAGATGTGTGACTAATATTGCTGATTAATGATCTGGAAATAATTTGTAAATAGTTGCAACTTAACAACTTTGTCTGGCAGCTGTGTGTGTTGTCAGACAGAGTATCTATGCTGTCAAAGGAAACAGAAGAAATAATCTGAGCGAGCCTGCCTGGACCATGCAGAAAGCACATGGCAGAAGAGCAGCACTGCAGCGGTTGCTCCCAAGCCATGTCCAGTATGGTCACTGCATAGGGAGAAAGGGAAAACCTTAAGTGAAAACCTGGTTGTGTGTTTAATAGGCTTCTTTGTCCAAGTTCCATTTATTTTTTCACAGGATAAAGATTAACAGGCTTTATTTTACCATATTATACACAATCTAGATGCTGTTTTGTCTCAACTTTAAAAATATTTACACTGTCTTACTAGAATATATGTCTTTAATAGTGTAAATAATAAAAATTAAATAAGTCTTGACCACTATATTTTATTCTCCATCTCATGTTCCATCACCCTGCCAAACCTCAGTCAGGAGATAGAATTGGCTTTGATTTGAGGGTTTGTTTGCATTTCGCTATTACCTTTATTTTCTTTCTGACCTTTTGTGTTTGTACGAAATGTATAACATCCTCTGTCTCTTTTCAAGCTGTCACTCTGCTTTTAGCTGCCCCCTCATTAATTCTGTCCATTTTGTAGTCAAAACAGCTTTAATTCCTGGAGTCTTATCTCTGTAATAACACAGATAACACACTTCAGACCAGTATTTGAGCAGGTTTACAAGTGGCCGGATATACCTTAATTAGCAAACTGCTAACTTTAAGAATACTCCAATTAGAGGCATTCTCATATTGGTATCTGGGATCCTATTTGACTCTGACAAGAAAGGAGCTCACCCTTGCCATCTTAGAATTGTAAAATGGTTTGGGTTGGAAGAGACCTTAAAGATGATCTGGTCCAACCCCGTTGCCATGGGCAGGGGAACCTTCTGAAATTGAAAACAGCCGCTGTCTGAAAGCACTGATTTTCACAATGCTTTGCCTCTAAAGTTTTCTCTTAATTGGATAACCAGTACTATGTAGGGAATGTCATCCCTGTCTCAAAGGAAATGCAGTCCCTTAGCTTTATTCTTATTTTCTGTAAAAACAAAATTGCTTCAAAATATTTTCACCTGTCCCAACTATTTCAAACTGGGCCACTGCAACGCAGTATTGTTTGATTTTCAGAAGTATAACTACTGATATTTACCCCATAAATTAATCTAAAGGATTTTTTGTGTATTATTTTCATAATGCTTTAACACTTTTCTCTTTTTTAATAACTCTTAGGAAATGGCAAAGATTCTGAATCATCCAAGAGTGTATGCTTTTCTACACATACCAGTCCAGTCAGCCTCTGACAGTGTGCTCATGGACATGAAAAGAGAATACTGTGTGGCAGACTTCAAACAAGTAGTGGATTTCCTTAAAGAAAAGTAAGTCTACTGATATTTGAGAAAATAACAGTATTGGTTTTTTTCAATGTCAAGAACATGTGGCTGAAAACACAATTACTTGCAACTTCATAATTAAGGTATGAAAAAGAATGAGCTTCTTTAAGCTTTCAAAGTCTTTGAGTTTTCTGTAAGCCCCTTGATGTGGTTTGCCCCTTTGCTTCAGCTTTTATAAGCATCTTAAATGTCTGCATGAGATGCTTTTAATTTGTCAATATATTCCTAATCTTTTTCAAATAATATGTTCTTAAATTATTTTTAATGCTTAAACTCCTATATATAGATTGCTTGAAGTTAAAGTTATTGAAGTCTTCTTTAATGTGGCTTTTGAACATTGTATACATTGTGTACTGCAGATGATCCAGCACCAGCAAATGTGAATGCATTGGCTTGGTTGTTTTTGTTTAAAATAAGAAATATTTTATGTCATATAGCCAATATACATTTACATCAATATAGTAATACTCTAATCTTGCTTATGGGATTGATGGTTTCTAAGATAATTTCCAAATTACTTCCCCTAACAACAGAACTAATTATGAAAAGTAGGAGTGCATCATCCTGTGTTTACTTATGCTGACCTGAAGATGAAAGTTACATTCACTTGCAAAGGTGTTGTAACTACAAGTAATAATTTAGTATCCAAGGAAGTATCTTATAGCAATGTATTTTGATGGCTATTTCTGTGTTGATTGTCCTAAAAATAGGTGTCTAGTTCTGTCACCTTGTTCGGCTACTTTGTCTCTCTGTCTGCTTTTTTTGTTGTTTGAGTGCTTGTTTTAATCAATTAAGGACCACAGAGTTGGACCTTTGACTCTTAAATTGCATTAGAATACTTGTACATAAAGAATCAATTTTTCATGATTGTTGAAAAATCCAGCAGTCTAACTGTGTAAAATATGTCACAGAAGAGCTGTGTGAGAATTATGGTATGTAAGAAAGAAAAGCAAACCATGACACAGTAGAATATGTTTTGCAAACTGTAACTGTAGTTTGTAGGACATAGCTATGCAGCCGGGATAACTGATGGAAGTGGAGCTGCTTGTCTTCGTCCAGGTTGATTAGGCATTAATTTTCCACCCTAAACAGTGCACATGAATTCTTGGCACTTAATTTTCATGTGAGTATGGGTCAGTGTTAGTTTTTAATGAACAGATAAATTCTATTTCCAGGTATCTTAAGTGAACTGTGTTGGTTTATGTCTTAGTCGACTTGAAGCTGATTCATTATTCTCTTCAGTAGTTTTAGCATTGGCAGCTATTATAACAGCAGCTGGATTTTCGATAATCTAGTATAGCTGGCACATGTTTGGGCATATGGGAATTTGTTAAATCATTCAGCTCTTGCACACAGAAAAGAATGAATTACTTAATATCCGAATTTAAAACAGCTGGTCAGTGAATACAGTAGTCTATGACATACACCTTTTTGCACAGGCGTTTTTGTAGCGAGCTTAACAGGGAAGAAATAATTGGTTTGGTGTCTTAATTTTAAATAATAATAAACTTTATTTATTCTGCTTATTAAAAAACTACCAAATTATCTAGTAGTTCCTGTTAGAAAAGAGTCTCCAAATATTAAGATGGAAAATTCTTTGTACTGTATGGCAGCAGGATGAGGAAGCTATGCAAGGCAGAGAAAATGTTTTGGATATTTGAACATGTGCACATCTGTAAAACTATTTTTTTTTTCTTTTGCACTTAAGAGCACAGTGTCTTCATTTGTAGTCTCTCCTCTTATGGCAGCAGCCAGCTATTACATTCCCATATAGATATTCCCGTAAAGATCTCAGCACAAAGCTTGCCAGGACTTAACATTGATGCAGACAACTCCAGAGCCTAGAGCCAGAATAGCTTAAATTAAATATGTGTTTGAACTACTTTAATAGCCAAGAGGGATTATTTCCATCTTCCATTTATCAAAAAGGGAAAATAAAAGAAAAGTAAAACCCCCTATATCTCCTTTCTCTGTTCCTAGGGCCATAAAGTCATCTAGAAGCTTCCTATGCAAAATGTACAGGATCTAATTAGTAGATACCAAATTGTGCCTTTGTCTCTAAAACGTAACATCTACTCTGACAGTATCTTCACCCAAAATTCTGTTAAACCAATAATTGTATAGGCTGACTTGTTGAAGAAGTAAAGCCCCACATTGGCGAATTACATGATTATCAGTTAAGTGCTTAATAGCTTGACTTGAAACATCTAAGCAAATAAAAATGAAGTACAGCAAGTAAAAAATGAAGGGGAAAAAGAATGTGCCATATCATAGGATTATAGAGTCACCTGGACTGGAAAAGACCTCTAAGATCATCAAGTCCAACCGCTAACCTAGCACTGCCAAGTCCACCGCTAAACCATGTGTCATTAAGCACCATATCTATACATCTTTTAAACACCTCCAGGGATGCTGACTCCACCACTTCCCTGGGCAGCCTGGTCCAATGCTTGAAAATCCTTTTAGAGAAGAATTTTTTCCTAATAGCCAATCTAAACCTCCCCTGGCACATCTTGAGGCCATTTCTTCTTGTCCTATCACTTGTTACTTGAGAGAAGCCACCAACAGCCACCTCTCTACAACCTCCTTTCAAGGAGTTGTAGAGAGTGATAAGGTCTCCCCTCAGCCTCCTTTTCTCCAGACTAAACAACCCCAGTTCCCTTGGCCGCTCCTCATAACAGTTGTGCTCCAGATCCTTCACCAGCTTCATTGCCTTTCTCTGGACATGCTCCAGCACCTCAGTGTCCTTGTAGTGAGTGGCCCCAAACTGAACATAGTATTTGAGGTGCAGCTTCACCAGTGCAGAGTACAGGGGGACAATCACTTCCCTTGTCTGGCTGGCCACACTATTTCTGATACAAGCCATGTGATATTGGCCTTCCTGGCTACCTGGGCACACTGAGAGCTCATATTCATTTGGTTTTGGAGCACCCAAGATACCAAGTGATTCCCAAGTCTTTCTTTTCTCAGTCAGACCAACAAAAGTGCCTGGGACTTGTTTCTCCTAGAAGAAGGGGCAAATACCTTTCCTTCCCCTGGAGAACCAGGAGTGGTTACAGAGGTACTTCCTTCTGAGAGTGGGGATTTATTAATATCCTGCTGAGCACTGAGTGCCTCACAGAGAAGATGGAGTTCTCCAAAGCAATGTCTTTTTATGTTGAAACTCACTTTTTAAAGGAATGGAGCATTGTAAACCCTCTGAGACTGTGAAGTTAGACATGCCACTTCTCTTTGAGGACTCTTTCTTCAGGCAGGAGCCCTAGAAATGAACTTTAAAAATTAATGTTGATGTTCAAGTGCAATCTTTTGATATGCAACGCTTTGTTTTTTTAGAGCCACTCTCCCCAGCCAGGTGATATTTTTGGTTTATTATGAAGGTCAGTAGGAAAATGGATAGAATATAAAGTCAGAAGCACAAATTCATTAGACTGAAAAACTGAACTACAGAAGTCTTGTTTTGTACTTTTTGCACTGAAATGTCAGTAAATTCAAGTATTCAGAAAAATACTGTTGTGCAGTTGATAGGTCAGTAGCTGACCTACAGGTATAATATGTGTGTTTACTGAGGATTTATTTGTAAACTATTCTAGAGAGCAACAGCATAAGGAAAATGAGGATGCACTGATTAATTTTGAAAGTGAATCCTGTACAACTTGTACAGGGTCTGTAGGGACTAGGACCAGTGCCCCCATCTGTAGTCTTTAGGGACTAATACAGTGGTGTGGAGGATCTATTTGCTAGACTGGTTCTTGGATCAGATATTAATTTCAATGTGTGTGAATACGGGATCTTCAGAAATTGCTGCTTAGTAAATTTAATCCAGAGACCAATTCAGGCTTATATCAGAAAATCTTTTAATTGTGGTGTCATTATATCAAAATGTGAGTTGTTTTTCAAGTGATCTCAACTTTCAGGATTCAGCATAAATTATATTTCTGAAAGGTGATGTTTGTAGTTGCAAAAAGAGCAAAACTGCTTTAATTATCTTGAAGTTTTGAAACTTAATCCACTGAAATTTACTTTTGCTGATAAAAGCAAACAATTGGAATATACTTTATTTAAAGAAACCTGAGATGTGAATGTCATATTCTGTAATTGCTTGAATAATCAGCAATGTGAATATATACTCATTAAAAAATCCTTAGACTGGTAATGTGTTTTCCAGATTTCATATTTGCTGTTGTTGACCATGCTACATTCTTTTACCTTTCTTGTTTGTCAACTGATTGTGATGTTCATCAAAGTTTATATTAATCTTTTCCTATTACCACCACTTAATAAGAGAAGAGAATGGTAAACCCAAAAGCTAGACAAATTAGGGAAATTTAGACCTTGGCTGAGAAACTATACCTTTTGTGTTTTGGGAAACAGTATAATGCTGAGGAAAAGCTGAGCTTGCCTTGCAGTTTTCTTTTCGTTAGTGTTCTGAGATAGAAGCGGAATATTAGTTGTGGGTAGTTGCTGCTGTTCACCTGAGATTGTCTCATAATTCATACAGGAAACATGTGAGCTTTCCAATGTTACCTGAAGGCCAGCAAACTTGGGCTGCCAGAGGGGAGAGCCACGGCTCTGACAGGCAGAAAATTCTGTTGGTTTTTGCACTATTTCTCTCTTCTCCTTTAAAATCAGACCTGCTAACAAGCCTGTCCAAGCCTCCTTTATTTTTAATGATAATCAAGTATCAATTTTTCAGCTGGTATAGATTCATAATTGCATGCAGTTGGAAGCAGAAAGTAAAGGAGCAGAAGTAAAACGAGTGCAGTGGAAGATAAATTGCACACTTGGAAGGAGATTAATCACTCAGGTGTAAACTTGAATCGTAGCTGCCCAGCAATCACAGACAACTGCTGAACGTCTGAAGAAACTGGAGATATTCTCCAACTTGAGGGAAGGTGTCACATAGTCCTTTGGGACAGCTGGCTTTGGGGAAGGCTCCCTTCTTCCCTGTCGCTTTACAAGGAGTTAAGCCATCAAATGGTAGCTTC